GTTGTCCCTGCCACTCTGGCCACGTGTCCCCTGTCACCTCTGAATCCGCTTTAGGCCCCTGTTCTTCCCTCTCAGTTCCATCCCAGGCCCCTCCTACATGGGGAAGGTGGCTCCATGCCTGTGTTCCTTCTGGATCAGGAGACTCCTCCTTGGCTGCCTCAGGGCCACTCGGACCGTGGGAGTCCCCCCAGCCATCTCCACTCTGCTGCCCCCGGCCCGGCCCCAACCAGGTGCGTCCTCAGGGCTGCACCTCCCAGAAGTCCAGCAGGTACAGATCTCTCTCAGCTCCTGCCCTTAAAAGGGGGCCTATTACCGTCCATGCTCCTACCCCCTCCCCTGGGACGCCCTGAAGGCTCCACATCAGCACCCAGACACAACATCCCTGTTCACTTCCAATCCTCTGCCCAGCCTGGAATCTACTGACTAGTTTCCCACCAGAAAATCCTTGCTCAGCCAGTACTGCTCCTAGATTTTCCCCACCAGGTTTGCTGGTTTGGAGCTTAAAAGCCAAACATTGCATTCCTGTATTCTGTGTCCTCCATGACGCTTCACCCCGGAGTAATGCTGGGTTGGTGTCTCCTCCCAAATGGGGAAGAGTCACATGTTAAGGCAGAATTGGGGGGATAATTCAAACAGTTCCCACTTCACATATCATCTTGTCACCACTGCCTTGCTCTACCCCATGGCTTGTCCCTGTTCACGTCTGAGGCTGCCCTCCACCAGGCAGGGCTGTGTCACCTCAGATGGCAGCTCCTTCTAGCGATGGCTGCAAGAAGGACAGGACAGACACCTGTCTTTTCAGGTGGCTGTGGAAGGAGGCCATGGCCCTGAAGGCATGTCCTCGGTTCCCAGATCCCTGAGCTTGGGTCCTGGGCTCTCATCCACGGGCCCTGCTGAAATGCTGGGCTGTAGAGCAAAGCATTCACACTCACAGCTTTGGGATTTTTATCTGAGGTTCCCACTTTCTAGCCTTGTGATCTTAGGGAAGGTATTTAATTCCCACAGCCTTAGTTTCTCATCTGGAAAATGAGGTTAGCAGTAGTATCCACAATCCCTCTTCTGAAACTCTTGGGATCAGATACGCTCCAGAATTCAGAATTTTCAGCTGCAATCACATAGCATGGTGCATATACTCTACATGACATAACACTCCACAGGGCTCTGAAAGCACCTTACTATCAAACATATTATTTCTGCAACATTTTGAATTTTGAACATTCACACTAAGTGAAATAAATAAAGGCCATAAATTGTCTCATGTCTGCTCAAGCCAAATTTTGTGACCAGATAAATTTTTTTTAATTCTGTTATAATTTTCAGAGTCTTGAATGGTTGGGATTGCAGATAAGGACCATCCTACCCTGTGTCTCTGTAGATAATGGCACACAGCTCAGAGAGATCCAAAATGTCACATTTTTGAGGCCAGACCACACCCAGCTGTGAGGCTGGGGATACCACCAGTCTCCCGACAAGGCCAAGGGTGACGGGTGGGGAGAGTCATCCTGCAGTGGCTGTGCTGTTACCCGCGTCTGTTTCAAACTCCACAGTTTAGCCGCCACAGGTCCTTCAGATGATTCCAGGCTTCTGACTTAATCCGCCTCCAGATCCGCATCTTTCCGTGGTGGGTCCTCACGGAAGACCACTGCAATATCGGTGACGGTGACCAGCATGACCAGTAGGGCCTCCACGTGATCGTCCTCAGGCCTGGGCTCTGTGGCCATCATGGGCTACTTCCTCCGTCTGCTGCAGCTTTTCTCCACCTGTGTGGCCTTCTCACTGGTGGCCAGCATGAGCACTTGGAGGGGGGCCACAGTTAACTGGTCCACGTTCATCTGGTGCTTCTGCTTCTTCATGACCCTCATCATCCTCATAGTCGAGTTATTTGGGCTCTAGTCCCGCCTCCACCTCTCCTGGAACAGCTTTCTCATCACCTGCACTTGCTACGCCACACTCTTCTGCCTCTCAGCCTCTATCATCTTTGCCATCACCTACATCCAGCTCTTCCCGCATAGCGCCTCCCAGGTCCAAGCCATCGCCACCATTGCATTTTCCTGCATTGCTTCCATGGCTTATGCCACTGAGGTTGCCTGGACCTGGGCCATGACTGGTGACTTATCTTGCTATTTGTTCACCTTGCCAGACCTGCTTAAGAGGCTGGAGATCTTTGTGACCTGTGTCATCTTTGCCTTCATCAGCAGCCCCTACCAGTACCTGCACCGGCCAGCCCTGGTGTGGTGCGTGGCCGTGTACGCCATCTGCTTCCTTCTGGGGGCCGTAGCTCTCTTGCTGAACTGGTGTGACTGTGACAACAGGCTGCCCATTCCCTTCTCCGTTTTCCAGTTGGGACTGACACTGCTCTCCGTCCTCCTCTACACCAGCGCTGTGGTCCTATGGTCGCTCTACCAGTTCAATGAGAAGTTGGGCGGCCAGCCCCAGTGGTCCAGCGATGTGAGCTGTAGCAATAGACTCACCAGCGTGGTGTGCGTCTGGGACCAACAACTTGCTGTGGCCATCCTGACAGCCGTCAACCTGCTGATTTTCGTGGTCGACCTTGTGAACTTGGCCCGCATTTTTTTCTTACCAGGTTCTGAGGCTCTGCCCAGGGGTCCCGATTCCCTCTTGTTACTGGAAGTTTCTTTGCCTTGCTCCCGAAGCATGACTGTCCCCTCAGCTGTGCCTTAGTTGGTATATGTGTGTGGATTTGGGGCATGGGGGGTGGATATCTAGACCCCTTTTACCCAGTGGAGGTGGGTGTAAAGTGTACCTCCCAATTATGTTTAAAAAAAATCTCTGGCGGTCAATAATTTCCAGTCAGCAGGAGCCTGAAAGCAGAGGCCCTGGGTCCCTAGGCCCCACCTGGTGCTCAGCTTCCGCCTTGAGATTGGCTCCAGAAGTTTTGCAGTCTCATTAAAGCCCACTGCCTAGAGGCCACCTTAGAGGAAGCAAGGGGTGGATGCCTTCCAGACCAATTATTTACTCTTTGGAGAATCAAAAAAGGAGCTGGCAAAGAGCCACACAGTCTTGAAGACAACTGTCTGAAGTAATGGTGGGGGGGGGGTGACGTGGCCCTCCTGCCTCAGTGTTCAAAATAGCACGTCCTGCCTTTGCAGGGCAAGGCCATGGCAACTGTCAGCCTTAAAGCTGATGTTAGCCTGGGTTTTTGCTTTTGTTTTGTTTTCTTTTTTTCTGGTCAGGAGGGCAAAAAATTACTGTTATTAAAGAAGAAGTTTCTTTTCGTTTTTTTACTCTTCAGAGGGGTGGGTTTGGAGGGTGGGGACTGCCTCTGCCATGGGGAAAGGAATTGCCGTGCTTGAGCATGTGTGCACACACGTGCTTCTGCGTGTCAGTTGCTTTCTGCTGCTGCTTCCTGCTTCTCTGGGACTCATGAGTGATGTGATCTATATAAATGTAGAAATATAAACATATATATTTATTCCCAGGAGCTTCTGGTTCCCATCAGCCCCTGCTGTCAGTCATATAGAGAAGACTTGTACCTTCTCTCACATACATAATGTACTTTATTTTTAACCTCAATATAAAGTTAAAGAAAAAAAGCAAAACACCCCAAAGAGCCACAGATCCTAATTGCCCCAAATTTGACTAGAGCTCAGAAGCAGCCTAGTAGATTTTTCTCCTGAACCGAACTACCGTCTCTGTAAGCCCCTCCCACTGCCTCTCCACCCCGGTGGCCCAGCCTTGGGAAACTAGAGGTTGGCCCCGCCCCAGTGCCCAACATCCTGTCCCCTAAATCTTAAAAGGCCCTCCCAGCTCCTGGAGGCCTCTCTTTAAAGATGTGTGCCCGTGTGCCTGCTCAGTGTGTGTGTCTGTGTGTGTATGTGTCCGTGTGCACTCCCGCATAGGGACCGGCAGCCCTTTACAGTAACTGGTGGCTATAAAGGTATCACAAGCCTCCTTCCTCTCTTGCTCTCAGTCACACAGCCTCAGAGCCCAGTACCTCTGTGTCACCAGGGCCAGGGCGGCCAGGCAAGCAGAGCTGTGGGGGAGGGGCAGGGAAGGACCCACACTGCTGCCACTCATTCCTGTCCTGGGATGAAGCACGTGTCCTTTACCTGGTGGCAGGCTGGGTGGATGGGGGAGGGCTCCTAGGACGTGGTCCCCACGGCAAGAAAATCTTTAGAAGTAATGTAATAAAATTCATATTCTAAGGCAAGACAGAAAAATTCTAACCATGAAATTGTTCTCCGCTCCCTTGGGCCTCCTCCCTCCCCTCTGGTGTGCACAGCGCGTCTGTACTATGCATTAACTAGACCTTTCCAAGGGCAGAAATTCCTGCTATGCTAGAAAGATCAACTTTTCTTCTTCTGGCTGCATCCGTGTAACTCCTTAGAAGATAGAATTACTTACTTATTGCTGTACTGTTTCTTGCATTACCGGTGTGTGATTGAGACTTTGATAAAAATAATGATGACCAGGTGCCTTAAAACAACTGACCTGATGTACAGTTCAATGATTGTAACAGTGTGATCTAGAGATGGGAAGAAGCAACAGGAGGGTACCATTTTCTGCAGGTGACAGACTAGTAAGACAAGTGGAGCAGAGGCTGCTGTTACCAGGGCTAGATGAGTATTCACACCATGAGTGGCCTATCGGTGAAGTCCTTGGCTGATCTGGAATGGGCATGCCTAGCGCCCTGGGACAAATTGATGGAAAATGCCCCCCAAACCTTGGTCAAAATTAAGACCAAAAGGGGGAGGATTGTGAAATAAAGAATGCTGCCCACCACCCATCAATTCTGCAAGAATTAAGTCATTTGCCACTGCAGTCAACCTACAATCCACCCTGAAAGGAATTCAGGGCGAAGGTCTGGATGAGGCTCTTTGTCATTTGGGAAAACTGGCAGAACTGGCCCTCAAACAGTGAGGGTCTTTCAGGAGAAATTTTTATGAACCCAGCTTCTTGGAGCTCACCACTCTTAGAAAAGCACGAAAACTGTTCACTGAGATGCCTGTTCCCCACGAACAGGAGTAATCTTCTACCAAGCTGTGTGCTGGATGGCATGAACCCTTCACCAAAGTCACATCCATCCTGGCCTCCTGCCCTTACCTCTTCAGAACAGTTCTCAGAGCTTCCTGAGAGACTGTCTCCCCAGTTATAATTCTCAGGTTGTGTGGAGTAAAATCTCCCGTTTCTTTTTAGATTGACTACTGATTAACTTTTCTTCTACAAAATCACGAATGCACGGACCTCCACAAGTCTGAGTGCACGGAGTTCTCATACTGTTATATTTTCCTGAATCGAATTGAACTCAAACTTGAGACCTCACTTCTAAGGAGGACGGAAATCCTCTGTGGTTTAGTAAAAGAATTGCCGAGGAATGGGCTCCCCTGAGCTGCTCACTGTCTAAACCCTCGTGGTTCATGAGGACGGCAGCTACATCCCTCCTGTCTGGTGGAGGTTAAAGGTCATTTGTCACAATTCGGGGGCAAGTTCCAGTCCCCCAACTTTGGAGCTCAAAAGAAAGTGTAAAGGTCCTCTACTAAGTCGAGCCCTCTTGTCATAGAGGAGGTGCAGCTGGATCCAGGGAGGTGGCAGGACTTGTCCAGAGACACCCAGTGTGTAGCTGAGCCAAAGATAGGCCCCAGGTTTCCTGGTCCCAGGCTGCCTATCTTTCCACTGCCCCAAGCTGCCTGTTACAAGTGTGGCAGCAGTGTCCCCCAGGCTGGGGTTAATGCCCCGTCCACCCTAGTTCTGCCACAAACCTGCCACGTGACCCCGAGGAGGTCACTCACTGCTGGTTGAATCAGGGTCCTCAGCTACAGGATGGGGGAGGGGGTCCCCTTGACCCCTGGTCCCCTCCCAACCCTTCCGCTTCCCTGTGCCCCTGGCTGCATCAGTCTTGGAGACTCAGATGTGGAGGTGGAAGCCGGCCTCCCTGTGCTCTGTCCACCCTCTCTGCTTGTTTCCCTCTTGGCTGCTGGGCTCCTGTTTATTGGTTACATCCTTCCTGATTAGACAGGCCCTCCCTCCTCACAACTTTTGCTTGGCGGTAAACATGTTTCTCTCTCATAACATGTCTTTACTCAGTCACTCACCAGTGATCCAACTCTCCAGCGATCCTTTTCAAAAACAAGTTTCTTCCAGTGACTCCACAGTCTGATCTCTCCCAGATCCCCCTGTTCCTGCACATCCTTGACTTTCTAACTCTTCAGACTCCAGCTCAGCAGCCCAAACGCTCTCGCTCTGTTTGGGGAGCTCACGTTTCCTTTAGTGAACACAGAGCCCTTTCTTCTGGGAGGACAGAGGGGCTGATCCCAAGCAGTGGAAGAGGAATCAGAAGCCCAGAGTGAGAGAGAGGCAGAACCAGGTCCAGAACCTGGTGGCCAGGGCTTCCCCCAGCCCTTCAGCACACACAGTTGATGGAGAAGATCCCCAAGGCCCAAGCCTCAGCTGGGTCCACAATCACATCTGCTCCTGACTAAGGTCAAGTGGCCCCACAGCCCTGGTCGGGTCGCCCGGAGATGAGACATGAGTAGTTGGGCCAGCAGAGCCCAAGAGATCAGGTTTCCAGTTCCAGTTCTGCCACAGGATATCTCGTGACCACGGATGAGTCTTGTCTCTGATTTAATCCTCGTTTTCCCATGTATAAAATATGCATAATTGGGTTAAAATCATAGTTTTCGAGCTGTGACCCTGAAGCCCTAGGGTTCCGGCGAGGTGGGGGGGGGATTGCACGCAGGATATTGGCCTCACCCACCACTTTCTCTTACCAGAGCAGCGTGGATCAAGCTCCCACTTGAGACCTCATGTGAAAATAGATTGGAAAGACTGGAAACAACCCACGTGCTCACCTTTCAGATGCTGGGTATTAGACATGGTACAGTCACAAGAGGGAATGCTGTACAGCTGGAAAGAAGGATGCTTTCAAAATAATGGTAGGAAAATGTCTCCAGGATATATTAAGTAAAATCAGTAAAGTATAGAATGACGTATAATATTCTATTTTTTATGTAATAAAGAAATATACCTGTAGATGCTTGATTTGCATCAAGAAGCACAGGAAGGACTCCCGGGAGAGCAACGGGGCAGTGACATGGTGCTGGTGGGGGAGGGGACTGAGGGGAGAGTGGATGCAACCGCAGGCGGAAGCGATGTTTCTCACTATGAGGCGTTTTAGAGCATTTGGATTTTGAATCAGATAATACATTACCGTTTTTAGAAAATAAAATTTAAGTTTGAGAAATTACTAATTGGAGATGGTCAGGGAAAGGGTTAGTTTCCTAGCTGATCTCCACATTCCCTGCAGCCCGCATGGGCAGGCTGGGGAGGAGCCGAGAGACGCCCGAAAATGTCAGAGGGAAGGGAGGCACCTTGGGTCCAGGGGTCTGGGGAGGGTGAGACGCATCCCCCAAGCCCACCTTCTGGGTGGCCAGGGCCTCCCCCAGCCCTTTAGCACACACAATTGATGGAGAAGATCCCCAGGGCCCAAGCCTCAGCCCTTCCCTTGCTCCCCTGCTGGCTCTGGGCTGCCTGTCTCTACGGGGAGGTCAGCAGGTCCCTCATCAGCCGGCCAGCCAGGGCCTCCTCCCCGCAGGTGACGCCGCCCCAGACTGTGGCCTGAGCTGCGTCCAGAACAGAGCCCAGGGCACAGATGGTCCCATTCTCTGGCTTTGGAGCAGCGTCTTGGAAAAATCACAGAGCCGGCCTTCCTCACTCCACCTTTG